AAATAGATGGAGCTCCTGGAGTCTCTCACTCTAAGGCAGGTTTTCTAATCCTTGAGTCAGTCTCCTGGCTCTTCTCCGCCCCCCTCTCCAATTTATCAACATCCTCCTTGAACTGTGAGCACCAGACCTGGACACAGGATTCCAGCAGTGGCTGCACCAGTGCCAGCTACAGAGGGAAAAGAACCGCTCTCCTCCAACTCCACATTCTGCTGCTTCTGTGTCCCAGGATCACATTAGCCCTTGCTCCAATCTTCCTGCAAAGGTGTAATGGTTTAGCTAGTCCTTGCCCTTTGTGCCAGGTGCTGTACCCCCACAGTCAGCTGAACCCAAGCTCCCACTCACAGAGGTTCTAGACACCAAAGGATTCGGGGAGGCTTCCATTCCAAACCTGCCTTCTCAGTTGCTTGTAACTTTTCAGTCCAAACTCACTTGATGGCTTTTCTGGGGGGGGGGTCTCCAACCAGGGAAATCCAGTGATGCCTTGGAGGGGGAGGGAGGGGGGGGGGGAAGAGGGGGTCATTCACAGATATTTTTCACTCCCCTTGCTAATGGAAGTGATAGGTTCCCCAGGGCCCACACATTCCCTCTCCTTTATGATCCCCAAGAGCTTGACACTTTCCCCTTGGCAAACACAGCTCAGTAACCTGGCTCTGTAGCTCTCTCTCCCTTTGGCTTTGCAGCCAGCCACTTGCGCACCGCCTGATGGCACAGGAATGCTCTGGCAAAGGTCTACAAAACAAGCCACGGTAGAGCAGGTACACCATCACCCAGGGGTGACAGATCATGGGAGTCTCTACAACAGTGACTGGAAGCGTGAAGGCGGTGGCTTGATTGCCTTGGAGTTTAACTGCTAAGCAGCTCGGTGCCTGGCTAGCATTCAGAGGGGACACAGTGGCATGAGACTGCTCTAAGATATGGTTCAGCAAAGGTTGGGGACCATCTGTTTCCTGGCCTCCCCCAAGAGAAATCATATTGCCCTTTGGTCTGTGCATGCCCTATCCTGTGCTTGCTTTCTCGGGGCCCCCATGGGTCAAGATCAGACTCATTACGTGGCTGCAGGCATTTCAGCCCGAGCAGCACGGCCATACAGTCCCGGCCATCAAGAGGGGCCAGGTGCTGCAGCATGCTCACTGATCGCAGGTGAGGGGCTGTCACACGGATGCTGACTGCTTGTTTTCTCCGATCTATTGGCAGCCAGTTCCATTGCTTGACACAGCAGGACCAATTCACTAGGGAGCAAGATTAATGACAGATGGGCTCTGCTGCCCACTTACCTATGGCTGGCCTGAGTGCATCACTTCACATTCCTTTACTCTGCTCACCACCCCTCGGGCTCAGCCCAGCCTCTGCTGCTCCCCCACCTCCTGCCAACCGGGCAGCCAGGGATGCAGCACACCCTGACCTTCCAAGACACTCACCCGGGGCCCGCCCAGCATTATATAAGTGGGTGGGTGGATGAGCCTCTGCTTAACCTAGTTACCTAGTGAACTATTTTCAACAAGCACCCGAGCCAACATGCAAGCTGTGAACCTGCCAGGACAGCGGGCACCGCACCCAGTGGGGGAGGGCAGATACGGAGTCAGCCACTGTTCTAGCGACAGTGAGGGGCAGAGCAGGGGACCTGGGAGAGTTTCATCCGATTACAGCGAGGAGGGTTTGCAGCGGAGGCCGGGAGGCAATGTCTGCCCCTCTCTGGGCTTGGGGAAAAGGGCCTTCCAATGAAAGCACAAGGCCCTGCTAGGGTCTGACTGTCTGAGAGCTCCATCCCCTGGGATGGCCGCTAGTGGGCCAGGCTCAGGGGCCTGGAGTTAGAAGACCTTCTCCCCAGAGCTAACCCAGACTTCTGGCCCTCCTTCCACAGCTCTGCCCCCCTGCAGCCCCACATGCTAGGACCGGCATGTCTGGCTTCCTGCTGGGCCGGAGCCCAGCCTGAGCTTGGGGCTCCAGCAGCAGTCACACTGCAAAGGGGGCAGTCATGAAGGAGCCAGGGCATTTCTGGCAGCGCTGAAGCAGACATCAGAGCGGCCTGCACTGCCATGCTCAGGATGGAGTTCACGATCCACAGGCGTGGGGCTGAAAGTCTAGGTGGAGATGTCACTTGGCAAGAAGTCTCCCTCTCTTCCCCAAATCCCTCCTGCTCGTGGAAATCCCCTGCACAGGACAGGAGGGAAGCCACAGGAGTCTCTCAAAAGGGGGGGGGTGGGGAGGGCAGATGTTCTCTGAGTCTTGGCCATAACAATCATCCACACGTGGGCACTGTTCAAAAGAGCCCTGGAGCTGGAAGCTGCCACGCCCCCACCTCTAAAGCCACCTCTGGCTTCACCATGGATTCCAGCACCTGATTTTTGACCCCTCCCGTGTGTGGACGAGATGGTGAAGGGCCAACACACTGCGATTACCCTAGAGAGCTAGTCTACTGGGACAGTGCCTATGCAGAGTCACCGGAACGTGAGCCCATTCATAGCAGTGGGACACGAACTTGCCTTGCACCACGGCTCTGGACCATCTCTCATCTGTGGGACCAGTGCTGCCAGCTCTTTGGAAACCAGGGAACAAAGTCACACCACAGCAGCAGGCTCCACCCAGCCTCCACATCCCAGTGCATCCCACAGTGCAAACCAACCAACCCTTTCCAGGAGGTCATGCTACAGTGCCCAAGGGGTGGTGTCAAAGGGACAATAGATGGGCATGCCAGGCCAGGGCTGAAGCTAGCGGATTCTAGAGAAGACCCTTAAGCAGAGGCCAGGCCTGCAGGAGGGTGGGGGAAGGTGGGATTTAGGAGCCTAGAAGTCAGGAGATATTCCCAGTATGCACTGTGTTAAGCTGATGGTAAGGCTGGGGCTGGTCCCAACAAGTTGGGCCAATGGACCTGCAGCACTGCTGGCAGCCAAAGCACCGGACCAGCCAGGTTGCCTGATTAAGTTGCAGTGTCCCACCTTGGTGTCCCAACCGTGGGAAGAGCGTGACCCTGCTCAGCCAAGCGTTACCCCGCCATCAGGTGGCCACAGAGTGCAAACAGGCAGCCCGGGGGGGGGGGGGGGGGGGGGGGAGACAGATACCATATTTCAGCCCCACAAACACTCATCACAGTAAATATCCCTAGCCACACACACACCCCCCCACAATGAGCTCCCCCTACAACCTCCTGCCACATGTCCCCACCTGGCCTTGATCTCTGCCGAAAAAACCCAATGCACTGCCGTCCTAACGCTGGGGTAAAACGGACCAGCTTAGAGACCAAACCACAAAAGACTCATGCAGCAGTTGCCCTGTGCCCTGTCTGCGGCCTCTCAGTCCACCCAGTTGTGACAAACTGGGGTTCTGCCCACACCACTTCTGAATCATGGCTGATTTTATTATATTGGATCATGAAATCCCTGGTAGGAAAAAAGCCTCTGGGTATGTGGATCGCCCATCAGATAGCAGGGCTAGGCCCCCACGGTGACCAATCAGTACCCACCGATCCTCTGTTCAAAGTAAAACATCCCCAGAAGCCAAGAGCTGCTGCTGCTGGGTCAGCTGCTTGTCCCCAAGGCCCAGCAAAGCAAGCAGCCTCTTTGGAGGGTCACTGCCATGCCTGCCCCACGACCCATGGGCCTGTGTCACACCAGAGGAGGAAAAGGCAACACTACAACGCCAGATGCGCCCTGCAGGGGCAGGCAGCCCCCCACCCACAACACCTGGAGAGACTCTCTGTGCTCCCAACCCAGCATCCTCCAAGCTGGGAAATGCGGTGGGTGGGTCAGGCCCAGTCGGGAGAAGCCAGCTGGACCTGCGATGGCCAGTCTGCAGGAGGAGAGATTCCCCCATTGCCAACGGCGTACCAGACAACAGCAAGAAGGCAGAAAACCTCTGGTGGCACAGATAAGCCATTGCTTGGGCGCTGCTGGGCAGAAACCAGAAGCAGCCTGCAGCTCATTCACCTAAACCAACACGCCACAGAGACACTGTCCAGGGCCTGAAAACCGGCTGGAACAGCCCGAGTGTCAATCTAGGACAAGCTCAAGGATTCCGCCCCCCCTCCGCCGGCCCAAGGCCTCTCCCTTCCCATCCATCTGCACTCAGCTGGGCCGGAGTCCTTGGCTGGAGCCAAGAGGGGGGAAGCCCCCAGACCGCAGGCACTGACTGGAAACCCCCAAGCCCACTCCCACGCAGACGAGGAAGCCTCGCGTGTGAATTCCCAGCAACCCTGGGCTCTTTGGCAGCTCTCGCCACCCCGGCAGCCCCCTCCCAAGAGCCCGGCCTCCGCCAGCGCCTGGATCAGGGGCAGACCTGCCCCCTCCCCGTGCAGGGCTCTGCAGGCAGCCAGGCCCCAGGGCTGGCCCACAGCCCCCGACCCACTCTGGGCCCGTTCTTCCGGCTCCTCAGGCATCGCCCGAAGGGGTCCTGCCCAGTGCCCACCTCGCCTTGCCCAGCCATGCCCGGAGCAGCGTCCCCGCCAGCACTCCCCAGAACCTGCCCCACACTGCGCAGGCAGCCGCAGCTGGGCGGCAGCGGGGGCCCCGGATGGCGACCCCGCTCCTACCCCCCAGCTGGCACCCGACCCACCTCGCCCATGGCATCAGCTCTGTTGCTATGGAAACCCACTTTTCCTGGGCATCCATCAGCCCGAACCCGAATTCAACCGCAACCAGGAGCATTTAAAACAAAAACAAAAAAACCCAACAAAAATGGCAGCTTCCCAGGGCGGGGGGGGGGGGGGGAGCCGGGGGGACCCCCCTCCCCGCCCTGGAGCAGGCAGCTCCAGCGCCCCCGGCTTAGCCAGCCCCCCGATGCCTCCTTCCCCGCGGGCAGCCGGGCCGCTTGCAAAGGGTTTTCCTTCCATGCAACAAAGGAGAGGGCGCAAAATATCCTCCCCTTCCCGACGCGCTGGCCTCGGGGGGCGCCTGCCCCAGCCCCCGGCGGGCATCCCCTTACCCCAGCCCGGGGACGACGCCACCGTCCCCCCGCCCCCCTCCCCCGGGGCCGTGCCCAGCCCCCGCTCCGGCCCAGCCACTTACCTTCCAAGGAGACAAAAATGGCCCTTTGCCTTCCTCGCCCTCTTCCTCCCTGCGCGGCGTTGCTGGGGGGAGGGGGGGCTCACTGAGCCTGCTGCTGGCCCGGCTCCATGGCGGGGGGGCGGAGGGGCTCGGCGGGGGGGGAAGGGGGGGCTCGGCGGGTGTAACTAACAAAGCCCTGGCGCTGCGGCCCCTCCGTGCCCTGCCTCCGCTCCTGCTGCTGCCGCTGCCTGAGCCACCGCGGGGTGAGTGAGCCGCTGCGCGCAGCTCCCCACCTCCATCCTGCCTCCCTCCCAGCTCCAATTGCACAATAGCAGCCCGGCAGCCTCATCAATATTCATAGCCTGCTGGGAGGCTGAGCCCTCCCTCCCCCACCCAGGCGAAAGCAATGGAGCTCCTATCTGGAGGCAGGGGATTTTTGGGGGGGAGGGGGAGTTGGCTGCAGCCCCCCACCCCCACTCGGGGTGGGAAAGACAAACAAAGGGCTTTGCTCTCTGCTGGAGGCCGGGTTGGCTGCACAGGGGCACTGGGATTTCAGCCCGTGCAGGGAAAGGGCGACTGCGCGCCCCCACAGGGGTTGCCACCTGTGCGAGTGTCCCCCTTTTTTGAGGACGGTGTTCTGGGGGCTCCGCATGCCTCGCCATGGGCTCGGGATCATCCCACGTGACCTGGTTGCGTGCCTACCTCCCAGCCACCCATCCCTGGCATTGTGACCAGCCGGAGAGCGGGGCGATGTGTCCCAGTTAGGAGGCCTCGGCTACAGTTCCCCATGGGAGTTTGGAGCCTAAATAGCCTTGGGGATCCAGGCCTTGGCCCTTTTGCTCATGCTTTCATCTCCGGAGGGCCTGGGCTTTGTTCCTCATGGCAGCCAAGACGATGCTGCCACCCACCCCTGACGTGTGTGCACCCGACTCCGCTCCCCAACACAGCACCTTACGCAATTCAGGCAAAACACCCGAGACCCCGCATCCAGGCACTTCACCCCTAACAGTCTCCCACGCCCACCATACGCTGTCGCCCCCACACAATTCCCAGATGAAAAGCACAGCTATGTATTATTGTTATGAACACAACACCCCCATCCCTCCCCCACACCCCTGATACACCCCGCATTGCCTGAGCCAAGCTGAGCTGCCATGCTCTGTACAGTAGAGATTCAGGTGCAGTATATTGTAGAATCATCTCTGAATGTAAACTCCCCCAAGGGCCTTAAATGTAAACTCCCCCAAGGCCCTTAGCCCCTGGTAGCCCCATGGACCAGCAATGACATAGAATACTCACAGGCATAAAGCCCCCTCTGAGTAATAGCCTGGGGCAGGGGCATGTCAGATGAGGGGTGCAAGAGGAGGTTTGACCAGGGCAGTCCTTTGACCTGATGTTTTCCTGCTGCTGCAGCCCCCATGGTGCTATGATGGTGGAAGATGCACAGGGCCCAAATCAGCCCCTGAACAGGGGAGGCAGCACTGCAGGGAAGAACCCATCCCCCTCTCCTGGGCATCACTGCTCCCTAGAGGCCATTAGGGACAGGAGCTTTCCAAGGAGCCTGGAAACTCCGGCCTGTTTTTATGAAACCTGGCACCATTCCTCTTTGGGCCTACACAGCAGCTTCAGTTCCCCTCTGCTGGGGTTCCTCAGAGCTCATGCGCAGGGGAGCCCATTGCAGGGCCCCAGTGCAGCTGTCACCCACTCTGACAGGCGAAAGTGGAACATTTTACCTCTTTTTTTCAAACCGTTCCTGTTCCTTCCTGTCACTTAATTAATCTGGTTTTCCCCAGGACACGATCTGGGTGTCTCCTGGGAGCGGATTTGTTGTTTGCTTGAGTTTGTTTCAATGGCATATTTCATCACTATTTTATTTTCCAGCAGTGCAGCCAAAGACTCAGGGAATGTGCCCCCCCTCCCCCCTCCCCACACACACAGACACACTGCACTGGCTTAGAATACAGTTTGGTGTAGGATTTTGGTGCCCTACGTGTGCCGATGCATGAACCTTTCCCCGTGCAGAGGTGTCTCTATTGTAAGCTGTAACATGAAACAAATGGGTGCGAGGGTGCCAGAGTGCCAGCCACAAGCCACTGGGGCTCTCAGAGTAGGCCCTGGCTAATCAGCAGTGGAATAGTGCACAGCACTTCCATGTGATTTCCCATTAGGGTTCAGAATGAACAATCAAGGCACACAACTCTGTTTCAGCACCATGGATTGAGTTAGTCGCCCATGGATGTTGCAGAATAAATGCAGGCATGTGGCTTGGTGGGATGATGATGTTAAAGGCCTCTCCAGTCCCACCTTTATACTTCCTCCTTCCTCTTCAGCTCTTTCTCTTTTTCACCCCCTCTTTTTCACTTCCCTGACTCCTTGGTATTAGCAGCCCTGGAGACAGCAGCCATGCCTATTCCCAGCGGAGGGTGCTGCTGCCCATTGGTTCGGGAGTGTAACATGGGCCAGAGAATTTTATCAGTCACCTCTTCATGCAGCCCAATACCTTGTGTTTGGCTAAAGCATCCTCCAGAAAGGCAGCCAGTCTTGATCTGAAGACATCAACAGAGGTAGAAGCCACCACTTCCCTGAGGAGTTTGTTGCAGTGGTTACTCACCAGCACTAGTACAAATTTGTGCCTTATTTCTCATTTTAATTTGTCTGGTGTCAACCTCCAGCCATTGGTTCTTGCTCTGCCTTTCTCTCTATTAGCACCTGGTGTTTTCTCCCTGGGAAGGGTATTGTGTGTTTGTACAGCACCGGGCACAAAGCATCCAGGACAAGGGCTCTGAGGTGCTATGAGAATACAAAGATTGAATAATAACAATAATACTCACACTGCAATCACATCACCTCTTGAGCTTTTTTTTTGACAAGCTGAACAGATCCATACCTTGAATAATGTTTGCGGCACTTCTCTGCACCCTATCCAAATTTCCAACAGACCGAGGGTCTATCCAAGTTCTGGCCCAGAGTCCCCAGTCATGGGAAGGACAGCTGACCACACTACAGTATTATTCTCACCTCCCTTTCTCCCACAAGTCCATCTCTTCTGCTCCCTCCAAGATTCCTACACTGAGAAATAAACCAAGTATTTGATAAAACATTCACTCAATTTCACCTTTAAAACTTAGACCTTTCGTATAGATTCTACTAAGTGGGATACAACTCTAGTAGCAGAGCAGTAATGACACCTTGTAGCCATTTGCACTGCCATCATTAGGTTCCAGAATCAAGAGCCCTATTAAATGGATGCAGCACACTGCTTCACACTGGCTGCCTGCAGACTCAGGAATGCAGCCTAGTCTCACACAGAAGCTTTTCTTCTTCCCAGCTAAAAAGGGCTTTGCTTGAATGAAAGCTGAAATCTGGCAGGACGTACTGGATACTTCATTCCTGCCCCTCCACAGGAGACCTTCATTCAGAGGAGGGCAGGGGCTCTGAGGCAGTTATTCCCACTGGCCCTGGATACAGGAAAACACGTTAATTTTTACCCACTGTTCAAAGCTGAGACAAGAGGCACCATGTCAAGGCTCTGCTCACTGCCCGACCCCCGACGGCACTGCTGTGGTATGAAGCCAGGAGCTAGTGATGTGAGGATGTCCCCTCCCTGATCTGTCCTGGAACAACTGACACCCGACTCCAGAGTGACCACTGAAGCCGCTGCATGCTGTGCAGACTCGCCCAGGGTAGCTCAGATCCTTGTACCCCACTCTTGAGTCAGCAACAAGGGGGGAGGGAGGGGCATTTCTGAATGATGGATAACGCAGGTTGGAGAGGGCCTCAGTTGCTTTTCACACTGTAAATTCAGGTCTGGTCCCAGAAGGCCCTGTAGATGTCTGGAGATCTGGCAGGGTTACGACGCCAACCAAGCTCTGACTGCTTCAGACTCCTCGCCATTCTCTCAAATGCCTGCCAAACCCTTGGGGAAAAAGCTCTCTGCTCCCTCCAGAGAAAGGCTGAGAGAGCTCTAAGGAGTCCTCCTGCAAGCTCATCTCAGGCCTTTGTTCGCTATCATACAGCAGCCAAGAAGTTGCAGACTTGTTATTTCCTTCGCAGGTCACTTTTCTGGAACATCCCCCTCGAAGCTCACTCTCCCTCCAGGAGGCTGTTGAGCAGAGCTGGGGTTTACTGTTGCTGTGACCTCCTTGGAGATCCCTCAGAGAAACGATGTTTCCAAATCTTTCAGCAAATGTTACATGATTTGACTCTCTCTCAACCCCTGCCTGGAGCACGAAGCCAAGGCACAACTGGGCCAGCGCAGCAATTTGCAAATGGAGAATAAAGCCAATTGTACATGGGGAAAATGACCAGGAAAAAAATCTTTGTTAACTTCTAGGTGTCACCTACCTTAGGGGGAGACACTTGGAGAATGCTGTGCTTCCCTGAGAAAGCACAGAGCCTGTTAGCAGATCAAAGATACAGTCTAGTTAGCTGATTTCCCAGTTACTGATGTGATGAATTGGTTCATCATTCTAGATTTGTCGCATCATGCTACAAAGGGTTAATGATTGCTATGTAGTGGGTCCTTGATACATGGACAATCACTCACATAGTGTGCTAAGCACCTTTCTTTCAGGCTAAGTGGAAGGAGTAATTAAATGGCCCTTTATGTAGCAATAGCTGGAAGCAATAGAAGTCACCACCCAAAGCACTAGGCCGTATGGTCTGAGGGGTTTCCTTGGAATTGGTTGCAAATGTGGGTGCCAAGGGATTATTTGGCAAGCAGTTTGTGTGCCGGAGCAGAAAAAGCCGACATCGAGAGAAGCAGTTATGAGCCTGGCCCTGAGAGGAAGCAGAGAGCCCTCTGGAGAGGTGAACTGGGGGATTTCTGAGCAAGGAAACTGCCTGCTGATTTTTGTTTCTGCTGTGTGCAGGGAAAGAGGACATGGTGTATGTTCCCTGTAAATGAACAGGATGGCACCAGAGAAATATCTACCTCATATCGTCAATTTCCCCTCCTCACAGAAACAAGCCAGTGAGGCCCCGGATCTCCACTCACCGCTCGAGCCCAAGGAGCAAGAGTCCCTGAGGTTCATCCCCAGACTTCGTAGCGTCTGTGCTTTTTGCTGAAGTGGAGCCTTCCATTTGAATGTCTAGGCCAATGTTTCAACCCACACCCAGCCAGCCTGTCTCCCCCCAGCTACTGGGCTGGCTGGCCTGGAGCTCAGACATGATGCTAGAGTCCAGCTAGCTCTTACAATGACCAATGGGAGCCCCGAGGCAACCTAGAGAGCACAATGCCCCATCACCATCCCTCCGGGCTAAGGGTAGCGCCGAGCAGGCAGGCCAGTGCAAGGCAGAGAAGG